AAAACTTTATCGGATCGGTATCGGTATCGGCCAATACCGAACCCTAGGTATCGGAATCGGTATCGGAGGCGAAAAAGGTGGATCGGAGCATCCTTAATTTATTCCAGTTCCTTCTGGTACGTAGACCAGTTTTACTAATAAGTAGGCTATTCAACAAGTTTAACTAGTAAGTACTAGTATTATTACCAATTACTAGTAAATACTAGTATTATTACCAATAGCTATTAGTAGCCTATCTATTCCAGCTTCACTAGTATTTATTTATTGGATACTAGTCTCAGCATCCTTTTCCGTTGCTACTAGAACCTTTCTAACTAAGCATGTACTAGTATCTAAATAATCAGTACTAGTATTTAAAGAATGAATCTTTGCAAATCTCCTTTCCTAATAATGCGCTAATTAGCAAGTTTCACGATGATTTAGCCGCTAAAGTAAACAGTCCCTCAAAGAGCAGCTGGGAAGAGAGGGGTGGGGTCAGCATAGCTCATTAACATTTAAAGGAAAATGCTACAAAACGGCTTGCTCTGAAAAGAGCTGTTTTTGACAGGGTAAAAAAGGTGTTTTTTACACTACCACTGAGAAATTTTAACCAAACTATGTTACAGACTTTTCATTAAGACCCTAAAGAATCATATCAATTTGTGGAAAATGGGCATCCAATGACCCCTTTAAAGAATGGTGAAACTGAAAAACGTATTTGTCACTATTGGACTACCTACTAGTAATTAAAAATAAGTAACTTTAAGAGTAACATAAAAATAGACACTAGTTCGTTAGGGAAAAAAGTTAAAACGGTTTGCCACAAATTATGCGATGACCAATCCATTCAAACTGAACTACTGACACTGTTATTATATTAGCGGTAACTAGTGTCCATAACAAAGGCTTTGTGTCTCCAATTACCTAAGATTTAACACATAAACTCAAGAGGTTTAAAGAGACCGTTTTAATGAGCCATAGGGGACACTGTAAATTACATTTGAAATACCATACTTTCCTCCTTTCAGCAACAAATTTATGACAGGTAAACCATTCAAAAACCTAAAATTAAATCTACACACAAGTAAGCCGTTTTATTAGCTCGATCAAAACTAGAGTAGGTTAACCTAACAATAAACCTGTGTTAATCTGTCGCTGTTATAACAGGGTGGCCCTGCGCACGCCGTTAATATATGAACCAACCAGCCACATTTGCTGTAACATATAATGTAAATCGTAGCAGTTTACAGCACAAAAAAAAAACGATATCTCTCAAACGACAGACATGTGCGTTGACAGAGCTGGCTTTAAACATTTATTCGCGTGAAAACATGAACCGTAATCTGGCGCACCAAACACCATGACAACACGAGCGCCATGTCCATCCACCTGCGTTATTCAAGAATATTTGTTAGAAATTAGAAGAAAATGAAAATGAAGACAGACTTACCCTTCAGTTTAGGAGACGCGCAGCAAAATGCAACGAATGTTAATTAAATAACAGCAGAAATAGAGTCCGTGTTTGTTGGTTTGCGTTGACGTTGGCTGCAGTAAAGCCTGTCTGATCTGAATCCGTTAGCCACGCCCACCGCGACTCTCTCACAGCCTGACCGTGTGACGTTCACGAGAAGTCACATGACTCTAGAGAAACATCTTCGCACTGTACAGATGGGACGTAAATGCAGAGACGTTCCCATTACGTAATTGCTAAATGTTCTACAATTATCTACAAGAGTCGAATATCTATTTAAAAGATAGAACAGATATATGGACGAGAAAGAAAATGCCAATTTCCAGCGTTCAGGGGTTCTCAGAGTGTTGATAGTGAGAAATGGGCTTAAAAATTACATTAAGTTAAATGCTTTTCTAGGCAACTAATGTAGTGTTAAACAATGTCCTCTCAATGTCCTGTAGTAACTCAATGTATTGAAGAAATATTTGTTTAATGAGGTTCTTCATTGTTTGCATCATTCAAATGATGCAACAAAACAGGCAAATGATGTATGGAAATGGGAAACTTGATGCTCAGCATGTTATCTTTTGAAATATTATGAAATTTGGGGGAAAATAAATATGTCCCCTAAATATAAATCCCCTAAAGTAGTAGTTAACTAGGGGGCATCAACAAACTTCTAAGGGGCCACAAGATGAAATAAAATGGTTCAACTCAAGTTATATTAAAATAATATAACACTAATATATAATAAAATGCTTTAGAACCACTTCCCTAAAGTCTTAATGATTGTTAAAGTTTCTTAAGCCAAGAACATGGACACATACAAATTGCAAAGAGGTTCTCTACACCTTTAATGAATGTTTTCACCACATATTTACAAACAAGAAGTTGACACCTGAATTTAAACTGATCAGAAAAAACGTTATTGGCAGCACTAATCTGGGATTTCCACAATGGCGATAATCTTCAGAGCATGTGATGATGATAATTATCTTGTCATGTGAAATCCACCATTTCTATTTGATCTGGGAGATTCCAATGGCTGTCTGCCTACCTCTTGATTTCTCCACTAATCTCACACTTTACACCTTAGTGGCAATTCCTAAGTAGATTGTCCAGTCCGCTTTTGCTGATAGTCCCATACGCCTGAGAATAACTGCCTAGTTTGGCGCGAGGATCGCCGGCTGCAGAAACATTCGAATTGCTCTGGAAAATCTTCTTGCTGAACCTTGGAGGAGGCTTGGCATCACGTGAATGCGAATTAGACCGCTGGTTCTGTACAGTGGGATATTAGGATATCATAATGAGGAAAAACATAAAACATATCAGACATATCATTTAATAAAATAATAGCTGCTTTTTTGAACATTTTAGCAATTTAAAAATATTAAAAAATTATTTTTTACACGGCACCCCGGTTGGGAAACACTGATCTAAGGTACAAAAAGACTCTAGCATAAAAAAGGCAGAATGCACACACTAGAACAGATGGCAGTAAGACCTCTTGATATGTGTCAAAACTGAGGGGGATTCTCAACATGGCACTGCTTTCTATCTTGTGACATACACAGCCTCAACCAATAGATTGTGTTGGCAGACTGAATGTTCCCAGCTCAGAGTAAACAAGAGTCAAATGGGTCACATGGGTTTTATGCAAACTGGAAACATTAATGGTTAAATAGATGGTAGCTGTGATTTTGTGAAACATTTTTGCCCCCCCAAAAAACAAAAGGCCACTCACCAAGCGAGCAGAGGTGACACATAACCCAGGGGAAACAATGGGTTCATCCTTGCGAAGCAGGGGATTATTTTGGGGCTGTGCTAGTGTGAGAGAGAAAGAGTTTGTGCGTGCCACAGGGGCAGAGCGACCTCGCTGGTCTACACCCTGATTGGAAGGAATGAACAGATGACACATTTTAAATGGTCATTTGTGACCCTGGACCACAAAACCAAGCTTTCCACTGATGTATGTTTGTTAGGATAGGACAATATTTGGCTGAGATACAACTATTTGAAAATCTGAAATCTGAGGGTGCAAAAAAATGAAAGTATTGAGAAAATCGCCTTTAAAGTTGTCCAAATGAAGTTCTTAGCAATGCGTATTACTAATCATAAATTAAGTTTTGATATATTTACGGTAGGAAATTTACAAAATAT